TTTTTGTTTGTCCTGGAAGCTTTTAATCTCGCCTTCTATTTTCAATGATAGCCTAGCTGGATATAGTATTCTTGGCTGCATGTTTTTCTCATTTAGTGCTCTGAATATATCATGCCAGCTCTTTCTGGCCTGCCAGGTCTCTGTGGATAAGTCTGCTGCCAATCTAATATTTTTACCATTGTATGTTACAGACTTCTTTTCCCGGGCTGCTTTCAGGATTTTCTCTTTGTCACTAAGACTTGTAAATTTGACTATTAGGTGACGGGGTGTGGACCTATTCTTATTGATTTTGAGGGGGGTTCTCTGAACCTCCTGGATTTTGATGCTTGTTCCCTTTGCCATATTGGGGAAATTCTCTCCAATAATTCTCTCCAATATACCTTCTGCTCCCCTCTCTGTTTCCTCTTCTTCTGGAATCCCAATTATTCTAATGTTGTTTCATCTTATGGTGTCACTTATCTCTCGAATTCTCCCCTCGTGGTCCAGTAGCTGTTTGTCCCTCTTTTGCTCAGCTTCTTTATTCTCTGTCATTTGGTCTTCTATATCGCTAATTCTTTCTTCTGCCTCATTTATCCTAGCATTGAGAGCCTCTATTTTTGATTGCACCTCATTAATAGCTTTTTTGATTTCAACTTGGTTAGATTTTAGTTCTTTTATTTCTCCAGAGAGGGCTTTTATATCTCCCGAGAGGGTTTCTCTAATATCTTCCATGCCTTTTTCGAGCCCGGCTAGAACCTTGAGAATCGTCATTCTGAACTCTAGATCTGACATATTACCAATGTCTGTATTGATTAGGTCCCTAGCCTTTGTTACTGCCTCTTGTTCTTTTTTTTTGTGGTGAATTTTTCCGCCTTGTCATTTTGTCCAGATAAGAGTATATGAAGGAGCAAGTAAAATACTAAAAGGTTGGCAACAACCCCAGGAAAATATGCTTTAGCCAAATCAGAAGAGATCCCAAATTGTGAGGAGGGAGAAAGGTTCAGAAAGAGGTTCAGAAAGAAAAAACAAAAAACAAAAACAATAAAAAAAAGAAAATGAATAAAGAAAAAATATAAAAAAGAAAAAAATATATATATATTAAACTAGTTAAAAAACGTTAAAAAAGAAAAGGGTAAGAGTTAAAAAAAAATTGGCAGAAGAGAAAAAAAAATTGAAAAAGAAAAAAAAATTAAATTAACTGCAAGGCTAAAGAATCATGGAGAGAAAGCCATGAGTTCCATGCTTTGCTTTCTCCTCCTCTGGAATTCCGCTGCTCTCCTTGGTATTGAAACTGCACTCCTTGGTAGGTGAACTTGGTCCTGGCTGGGTTTCTTGTTGTTCTTCTGGGGGAGGGGCCTGTTGTAGTGATTCTCAAGTGTCTTTGCCCCAGGCGGAGTTGCACCGCCCTTACCCGGGCTGGTCTGAGTAATCCGACCAGGTTTGCTTTCGGGAGCTTTTGTTCCCTGAGCGCTTTCCGTGGAGTTCCAGAGGATGGGAATGAAGATGGCGGCCTCCCGGTGTCCGGCCCGGAGGAGCCGAGAGCCGGGGGCCCCACTCCTCAGTGCGCCCTCAGAGAACAGCGCCCAATTACTCCCGTCACCCTGGCCTCCGGCCGCGCTCCAAGCTGACCGAGCCTGCGACCGGTTCAAGGTAACCCCGAGCTGAGAGTCACTCCTCGGCTCTGTCTCTGTAGCCGGCTTCCCTGTTCTAATACCTGCAAGCTCTGCGACACTCAGACACCCCCGATCCTTCTGTGACCCTGCGGGACCTGAGGCCATGCTGACCCCGCGCGGGCTTCACCCCGGTTAAGCCTCTGGAGCGATGTCCCTCAGCAGAACAGACTTTTAAAAGTCCCGATTTTGTGCTCCGTTGCTCCGCCGCTTGCCGGGAGCCGGCCCCTCCCCCCGCGCTCTATCTTCCCGTCGCTTTGGATTCACTTCTCTGCCAGTCCTACCTTGCAGAAAGTGGTTGATTTTCTGTTTCTAGAATTGCTGTTCTTCTTCTTCTTCGATCTCCCGTTGGATTTGTAGGTGTTTGCAATCTTTAGATAAGCTATCTAGCTGATCTCCGCTACCTGAAGTAGTCTCAGCCTGCTACTTCTCCGCCATCTTGACTCCTCCCTCCTAGATGATAATTTTTTAAAGGAAATCACTTACCCTTCAGTTTCCCTTTGACTACCTTCCAGCCCCAGATGGGATATTGGCTAACGAGCTCAACTCATGCAGATGAGGTGAGTATAGCAGGACATGGCAGAATGATAGGCTAGAAGGAAGCCGACCCCTCAGTAGCCTAGTGAAGTAGAGCCACTTGCACCCTGGAGACTCTCTGGGCTGATACAAGGGAGAGCAATAAATATCACTTTCTTGCCTGAGTTTTCTCCTATATTTTTTAGTTTCTTTGTTACAATAGCTTTGTTGATGCTCTAACTGATACACAGTGGTGCATACCAAGTCCTCAGGAACCACACTGAGTGCTGAATAAGTGTCATGTCACTTAATTTTCTAGCAACTCTCCTAAAATAGATACTAATTGCTCATTTGACAGATGTACACACAAGCTTACAGAGGCTAAATGATCCGCCCAAGATGGTAAGGCTATAAAGCGGTAGAAAGAACCTGGATACAGCTCCGAAGGGCTTCAAAACACAGATTCTAAATCTTCGTGCCCTGGCATACCTTGGTATTACTGTTCAGTCTTTTTTTTTTTCTTTTTCTTTTTAGACAGAGCATTTTTGAAGCATTCTTGTCAGCTAATTTAAAGTTTCTGTCCCTTACACATTGTAGCTTTTGATTGCTTCTCTGCTTAGTTTGGTGCAGAATGCTCATTTTATTCTCCTTTTTTGGAGGGGAGCAAGGTGAGGATTGTCCCTTGGTTTTGAATAGATTCATCTTACTTTGTTCATTAAACTGTAAATCTCTCAGAAAGTAATGCTTGTAGTACAAATGTGGCTAAATAATGACAACTCTCTGTCTCAAGGGATAAGAGCTGCCTAGTCTTCCAGAGTGACTCAGTATTCTCTTACGTGATGTTTTTCTCAGGTAGATGAATTCCATTGTCAGTGAATCAGTCCCGGTGGACAACCTCCCATCTTAAATACATTCTCATGGTAGCAGCATATTTGAATAGAGGGAACATCCAAAACGATGATTTTGCATAATGAATGATGCCCATTCTATTTATCACTAAATAGAAGCAGGTGGAACTTAAAATTTTCATGATTGCTCTTTAGTCAAATGTTAGATTCATGATCATTCTGCCATGCGTGAGTTAGTAATAAGTATGCTGCATAATAAAAGAAAGCCCCAAATGCATCAATAAGATATATTGGCATCAGTGTATCAAACAGAATATGTATTTTTCTCTTTTTTTAAAAAAATATTTATTTGAGAAAGCAAGTGAGAGAGCAAGAAGGCAAGAGAGCAGGAATGGCGGCGGGAGCGCGGGGGGGTGGGGATGCAGAGGTGGGGGAGGACGCGGAGGGGGGGACAGAGAGAAAGGGAGAAGTAGACTCCCCACTGAACAGGAAGTACAACCCAGGGCTTGATCTGGGGCTTAATCTGGAGCTCAGTCCGGGCTAGATCCCAGGATTATGGGATCATGACCTAAGCCGAAGGCAGACGCTTAACCGACAGAGGCACCCAGGCACCACAAGGGGTGTGTGTGTGTGTGTGTGTGTGTGTGTATTTTTTTTCCTCACATGAGAGCAGTCTGGAGGTGGGCAGCCAAGGATTGACATGTGGCTCTTGGTCATTGACTTCTCAGGCTCCTTCTAACTTTTTCTTTGTAAATCCCTGAAAATGGTTTCTATTCTAAAGATTCCCTCATGGTTAGCAAAACCCCCTGTAGTGACACTCATCGTGTCAGAGTTGCAGGCAGTGGGATGGGGAGAGGGCAGAGGGCCATTGTCCGCCTATTTCCTTGTAAAGACCTTTTTCAAATTGTTTACTAAATGAACTTTCACTTCATTGGTCAGAACTTAGCTATACCTGCTTACATAGTTGCCTGGATGAAATCAAGGTTTTGTCTTGTTTTTAGCTAGGAAAGAAGGCGAACAATCAATGGTAGGTAGACTGCCTGCCTTCTAATTAGAAAATTCCTGCCATTCTACACCAGGGGTTGGCAAACTGTGGCCTATGGGCCAAACCTGGCTCGCAGCCTGTTTTTTTATAAGTAACGAATTATTGAAACAAAGCGATATGAATTCATTTTTGTATTGTCTATAGTGGATTTGATGCTACAACAAGAAGAGCTGAGTAGTTGTCATGATCCACAGAGATCATATGGTCCCCAAGTATAAAACAATTCCTATCTGGTCCTATTGAAAAAGTTTGCCAACCCTGTTCTAGATCATGGAAGACAGATTCTGATGAACAAATGGTTTCATTCCTTGGGATGTTATAGGAGCCGGGTTGAGCCTAATATAGATTCAGTAACAATCTACTCGCCAGCCCCAGTGAAATTAAATTTCTTAGGCAGCATACATTACATACAAGTAACATGACTACTAGTGGCAGATTCAACAACAAGGAGTTTATTTATCTCACACACAAAGAAGTCCAGAAGTACATGGTCTGGGGCTGGTGTGGATGCTGAATGATGCCTTCAGAACTGGATTCTTGTTTTCTCCCCAACCATGGCAGAATGTTGACTTCCATCTCCATGCTTAAAAACATTAGGTCTGCATCCTGCCTCAGAAGAAGGGGTAGGTGTCAAAGGCCAAAAGGGGCACAAGTCTGTCTCTTTCCAGAACCTTCCCAGAGGTCCTTCCTGGCCAGGACTGTATTCTCATGACACCTGCTGGCTGCAGAGGATCCTGCGGTGGCGAGAATGTATAATGGACACCCGACTGAGGCAAACAAGTGGAGAGGGAGCCAGGAGCAGTATGACAGGAGCAGGGCTCCTCACAATTAGCGGGGCCACTCTAGCACCTTCTGAGGGTCTCACCTTGCCTCCCTGCTCCTTCCTGTAACCGTTCCTGAAATTGATTTTGTTCTCCACCCCCCTTTCCTATTTCTGGCTAGGTGAGAAGCCTGGAAGCGAGCCAGAAGAGGTGACGCTGCAGAAAGCCAGCAAACAGATTGTGCAGAACGCCATCTTGCGGGCCGTGCGGCAAGTCTCCCAGGAGAGCCGGCAGAGTGGGGACAGAGCCCGTGACAGCCGGGGCAGCCTCCAGCTGGGCGTCGGGGAATTAACCAAGAAGCACGAAAAGAAGTAACACCATCGATTTGGCTCTTGTCACCTGCTTGGTTTCCGGCCTTCCTCTTAGTATAGGACGCGTTGCCAAAATGTTGCCAGTAAAGCAAACCAAAGTGTCATCGGCACCTAGAAGTAGGACGAATTCGCGCTAGCCCTTGGCTGAGATGCACTGTTTTGAAAAAGTGCGTTAGATGATTCTGTTTATATTAATGCAGTGCCTCTGAAACGGAGTGGGCCCAAACAGGACACTGTAATTGCAGAAGTAGTTTTGCGGCACCATTTATTTTTAAGGCCCCCCCCTGCCCCGGCCGAGATTCTGTCTTGCTTATTTACTTTTGCTTTTTATGCACCTTTCTGTGAGTTTAAACAGCGCCCCCTTTTGCTGTGATACTGAGTATGGTACTGTGTTCTTTGTATTTTAAAAAGACAGGCTGGAAAGGTGAACGAATGGGGTTTGTCAACTTCAAATATGGAATTGAAGGCTTCACTGGGTTCAGGTCCAAGATCAAATGGAGCAAAGGCAAATTCTAAGACTCAGTCCCTCAGGATCTTACAAGGCATATATTTATATTACTTTTTAGAAAGGAGGAGTTTAACTTTTAAAGGACTCAGGTTTTTGTTTGTTTGTTTGTTTGGTCTCCGTTCTCTCCATGGTTTGATAGCTGGTCTTTACTCTCTGTGCAGAAATCCTTGGGAAATAGGGATTTCTTTTTCCATCTGAAATTAAAATAAGACAAGTGATAGATCTAGATGCATGAGTTGCCAATGACTGTTTTTTCGAAGCCCCATGAAGAGCAACCAGAACCATAGATTCCATTTATAAACACTACGTTATCATTAGGCTATGTCATCGCATTAGTACCTTTCTAATAGGAGCTTTTCTTTTCCCACCCACAAATTAAAATTATATTTTCAAAGTCATGAAAATCATACATATCAGGAATAAATAACACTGAAAATGGGAAAAACCAATTTTTAATTCTCTGAAGCATGAAGATAGAGTGGGAACAATAAAGTAACCGTGTTTTGGACAATGCGGTTATAGAGATATATGTGCATATGAAAAAAGCCATCATTATAGCAATGGTATGACCTTGGCTCCACTCCTATGTCAATAATGCGTATCTTTCTAGAGTCATCACAATCCCACAGTCTGGGCTTCACAACAGTCATTGAGTTGGTGCTACTGAAGACAGAGAAAGAATTTGGCCTGTAGTAAAAACCCTGCGGCTTCAGAATATTAATGTCTACATTTGAGAGGTTTTTTTTAAAGCCAGTATCAGCATATATGGTATGACTGATATTAAGATATACTTCTAGAATTCCAGTATGTTATCCTTTCCACAATGGATACTATTGATTATAGTAGATAAATGGAAGCACTCTCCTATCAGTTTTCTTAGATTATCTCACATGATGCACAGCTGGAAAAAATTCACAGGAAGAAAGGCTATGAGAGGGAGCAGAGGGAGTTAAAATTTAAGTGTGATTTATTTATAAATTTTTTTTAGCAGAACTCATGATAATCAAAGAATGAGTTTAAGTTGATCTGAAGTCATATAATTGATATGGTATGATTGCACAGTCTGTAGATAATGGGAATGAAAGTAGTAAGGTAAATCATTCAGAAGGATTTACTATAAAAAGTAAACCCAATGCTTGTAGTTTGCAAGTGATCTAGCACCATGTGTACTAAGCTGTCTGGTTATAAACAGTCCTGGACCTTGCTGTCATATCATGTGGCAAAAATACATAAATGCACTATCTTTCTTCTCTGGTGTGTCTGTGCTAATTCATTGAGGATCTTTGAGAACATCTGATTAACTTCAGTATCTAAACATTATTTGTAAATAAAATATATTCAGCTTTGAAATATGTTGTCACTTCTATACCCCACTGTGTGGCTCATTTCATACATGTACCTTACATTCTTTTGGCACCATGAGGCACCCCAAGTTTCCCAAACCCCTAGATATCATGATCCTGAGAGTGTTTCTTCCCTGGGCCTGTACTGTGAGCCAGTGGGATGGCAGTTCCTGAGGCTGGAAAGGGAAAGGACGCGTGCTACAAAGTGGTCTTTTGATCTCAGGAAGTAAAGGTGAGTGGATCTAGAATGTGGAGTGTCTTTCATGATCTTTGTGAGATAGAACATCTATAGCAGGGAACACAGAGATTGAGAAATTCTTGAAAGAAGAAAAGAAAGTTGAGCGACACCTGCACCCAGTAGTTTGGGGTCATATTGGCAGAATCCTAAGGAAGTTCAGCCGTAAAAATAAATCCATCTGTTAAACTCTTGCTAACCTCTCTCAGTATAAAGTTATTGGCCTTGAACGGGGCCTATCAAGCTTCATGTGGCATAGGATTAAGATGGGTTACCAGTTGGCTATTATCATAAATCAGCACACAGCTTTTGGTTTTTGGAATTCATAGGAATATTTATGTATTTATTTAATGTCTTTTAGCTTCCTGATTTACTACATGGCAAAGCAGACATGGGCCTCCCAGCTCTGTGTGTTCAGCTAGCTGTTCATCTCTTACTTTGCCTGGCCCTGGAGTAGACCAAAGAGAGAAATCCTTTTATGTTACTTTGCTTTTCTGTAATAATCTATGCAGTATGGACAGCATTGTAAATCGATACAAACCAACTTCCTGCCTTCTGGGCTTCATCTCCCCCCTAGCCTGCCCCCAACTCTCTTTTTTAGGTGCTTCATCTTCCCTTATGGTGGGATTTCAGGTTACCAAAAAAAAAAAAAAAGAATGAACCATTTAAAAATAACCATGTTATTTATTCCAATCCAGAATGAATAACTATTTTCAAGGTTTTAAGGTCTTACAAAAAAAAATTAGAAAAGGGAGTTTTCAACTTATCCACTGTAATGGCTATTCCAATAAGATACATTAGAGAATAAAAAGTTCTGAGAAATCTGGTAACTAGTTTGGTCACTACAGTACCCAAACAGGTGAAAAAGACTAAACCCTTGAGTAAAGTCTTTAGTTCATGTGAGGAGATTTTGGAAACCACAATAATAACATCTTTTCTCTTGAGCATGAGAAAGTTTTCTGAAATATATTACTGCACATTAACTCACTTTTCTCATTGTTACAACCTCAAAATATGTTGCATCTGAGAAGATCTTATTCTGTTGCAGATAAAGTCACACTGAGTCTCAGAAGGATAAGTATATCCTAAGTGATGAATAGCAAGTAGTATTTGGCACAGAAATACATTAATCACTGATCTTGACCTTTGAGAGCATATGAATTAGCTAAGGGAGCCTAGGAAATATAAATTCTGGGCATCTCTATGTTAAGATGGAAGAATAAAACTGCCTCCTAGTAAGAAATGACACAAAAATAGTAAAGGGCCAGAAAGATCATCATCAATAGAAATAGCTCAATGCAATTAACGTCAGAAAGTGGTAGCTAAGGAAGGAAAAGGAAACCGCAGAGGGAACAAAATAGAAGGTTACAACAGAACATGGCAAGTTCACTTATCTTTCCTCCAAAGTCCATGGAATCCTGACCCAGGTGTGGAGAAAGATGAATGTGGTGGGTGATGTTATTGTTTGTCTGTCGACTACCGTGTAGTGGAAATGGCTCATAGGAAGAAAAAGGCAAAGTTGGAGAAGGTGCTCTTCCCACATGGCAGTAACAGCATTATCGTACAGAAATGAAGAAAGGAAAAGATAAACGCATATTGAAAAATTCCCTCAAGGTGTTCTAGAAAATGGATACAAAGTGTTCAATACCAATACTTCTGGAATAAGAGAAATATCCTAGAAATTCCTAGGCTGAGAGCAAGCCATTTACAGAGGTAAAAACTTTAGGCTGGTGTGGACTACTTCATAGCAACAATCAATACTCTATCAGAAGAGAGAAAAGTCTACAAAGTTACAAAGTAGCTCTGAAAAGGAAAGTATGAAGTAAGCTTGTTATTCCCAGCCAACACTCACTGGAGAATAAAGGCAAATTAAAAAAAAAAAAAAAAAAAAAGGAGGAAAAGTCAAGGGTTACTAGTGCTCCAGGGCCCTTCTTGAAAAACTGCCTATCCATGAACTTCAGCCACCTAAAAGTTAAAGCAGTCTAGGGGCACCTGGGTGGCACAGTCAGGTAAGCGTCTGATTTCTTGATTTTGGTCATGATCTCAGGGTCATGGGTTCAAGCCCTCTTTCAGGTTTCCCACTCAGCCCGGAGTCTGCTTAAGATTCTCTCCCTCTCCCTCTGCCCCTCCCGGGCTCTCTAAAATAAATAAATTAATCTTAAAAAAAAAAAGACTCTAACAATGGAGGAGCTACAGAAAAAGGACTGGTGAGGAGTATTGCCTTCACTTAAATATCAAGTAAACATTGCATAACTGTGAAGATTAGGCCAAAGAAAAGAATGTAAATTGTTATATCTTGACAGTATAAAGATATAACTAACAAAAATCATGAGGTGGGACAAAGGAAATGATACCATGCTCATGACTTCATCTGTCAGAGAAAAGATAATTGATATGATCTTAAGTTGAATGATCTAGTTAAAAAATTCAATGATGCAAAATTCTTAATTGATTTCATAATTCCTTTTCTTAACCTGAGAGGAATGTATTAGAAAAATAATACATTATGCTAAAGAAAGATTTATTTAAAGTTAACAGTACCTTTGGTTTCATTTAGGTTTTTTTCTTTCATTAAATAAAAAAAGTGTTAAGAGATCTGTATTTTATGTATATATAGTTTATCTCATATCTGCCATTCTATCATCTATCTATCTATCATCTCTCTAAATTCCCTAATGCTATATATACCTGACCACTTTTGGTTATTCCACTAAAGCCGAACAGGAAGACTCTGGCAGCTTGTGAAGAACCAGAGTGATCTTCCCATTGAGAAAAATAATTCCTTTAATCATTAGACTTAGGCCACAGATGGCGCACAGTCTAAGTAATAAGTGAAGAAAAAAAATAGATTTATTCCTATAGTACTTTTCAGTCTTTAGAGCAAGACACTGTTTATTGTACAGCAGGTTCCTACCTGA